TACTATATAATATAAATTTATATAATATCGTAAAATATAATATCATAAAATTCATCTACCCTAACCTCTAACTAACCTAATCATAAAGAGTGAGATAGGCTCATTATCAATGAAATGACAAGATTTTAAAAGATTCTCTTTTTCATTATTTTTTACCGTGTATGGTGTCTTTTCTGGACAATGATAAACGTAAGAGTAGGTTCAGATCCAGGTTTGTAACAACGTGATATTACCGCTTTTATTGCTTTCACTTCAATATTTAAAACATGCTGAAATTGTGCTTCTGAAACTCCATCACGATAAAAGAGTATACGATTTGGAAGAGACTTATTTCTTTTCCAAAAGGCCCGAAACAAATCGTTAACCATATCTTCAAGACTTTCTATGGTTTCATTGCGTGGCACTTTATTGACGCTATAACGTCCGGAATATACGACAGCATCTATATCCATTGATGCACAAACAGCGGCAACACTGGGTTTACGTTCCCCTCTGCCCGAATGGAACACATCTGCTCCAAATATCATTGTCTAATGGTCAAAAATATTAACATTAATAGTAAAACAAAAACAAAAATTTGAAATGAAAATGAAGAATATTATACCGGAACTTGAGAGATAAATTTGAGTTGTCCTCTTGACAGCAAACTGTTTTTCCCTCCTAACTTTACATTTACTTTAAGGGATATATTTGCACAAACTTGATCAAGTCCTGACCGCTTGGTGATAAGTTTTGACAAGAGGACTTGGGTAGGTACGCCTAACATGGTATCACCCACGCGCTTTATCTCACCATATAAAGGACCAGTTTGTTCCATTATACAAAAAACTAGTTGCGGAGGTAGTTCTTTATTGATTCGAGCATCCAAGCAAGCTTGATATAAAGTCTATAAAACGAAAAAAAATTGATATACAAGATATACACATATATATACATTAATCATATGAAAAGATCTATATAAATTCAAAGATTTTACTTGTTCAATGTTTCCTATGGGGTTAGCATATGATATCTTCGGTTTATTTGATACGTTCTATTATTTGAGAGTGAGTATAATAGCATATTTTACAAATTAATTGATTCTATATTGAGAAATAGTCGTACCAAACCCTTTTGATTTGCAGTTTCTCGAAATTGTCGCATAAATTGTTCTATGCTCGGTGCTGGCACTTTTGTACTAAAAACTAACACCGACCAATTTTCAAGGCTTTTTCCCTGAAAACATCACCATACGTAGGTCAATTAAATATTAATAAAAGAAATGATTTAATTTACAATCGTACTTGAACAACTATTTTATTTAGAAGGTTCCATCGACCGTCTTTTGGGACATGAGTTTGATTTACACTTTTAGAGTTATACTCGACTGTCGGAGGATCAAGTACGCGGCCTTAATTAATTTTTGACCAATCAGAATACAAAAAATCAAAAAAACATCAAATTTTAATATGAAATTTTTGAAAATGGG